GTTTTTAGTTAATAAACTTCACTAATAATAATAAAAAAAATCAAAAACTATTTTTTATAAATTATTTTCCATAAAACAAAGAAGTCCATCCTAGGACCCATTTCGCCATAATGGATAAAGAATGCTATTTTTTTAAAATAGACAGATAAAATATAAAAAATTTCATTCATATGAAACAAAACCGGAGATTAAACCAGAAGAAAAAAAAATAATAAGATCCAAAAACACATGAAATTAAATTTGAATTTATTAAAAAGAACAAGGAAAGGGAAGAGAATTTAAAGGGTGGACGACGGTGAAAGATTCACCAGGCTACCATGATTTTTTCTTTTAAGAAACAAGATACAGATGGCTAATTCATCACTGATGCTTTTTAGGAAAATCATGGAAATTATTTCTCTCCATAATTGACTAGCTCATCAATTTCGGATACAGATGGGTCCGTGTGCTGTTTATACATGTACTAGCTACGGGCCTTTTCTTTTAGCAAATGAAATTCCGTGCACCAATAGAAGTTCAATTTGATATTTTCTGGCTTATTGGTCGAGATGTTCTAGGTAGGACTCGGGATAGATTATTTTTGCCCTCACCTGAAATGTGAAATATCAAGGAAACAAAAGAGAAAAGAAGCGATCGGTGCTTCTTGCAATGGATGATTCAAGTGAGCTGGTGGAAAAAATGTTAAACTCGAAAGGAATGTGAAAGATCGCTTTCATTGGGCGATGATTATCCATCCCTCCTTGCCCAAGTCCATGTCCATCTCTTGACAAACGACAGTCAAGCCTGATCTCTAACCATCCATCCTTTTGAGTTATTTTCCGCAGCAGACCATGCTTGATATCAAAGTTGAGAGTTTTATGTTGATTTTGAATTTCATCCACGCCACCTTCAATTTTGGAGCAATCATATGGAGCAGGGCAAGAAGATACATTGGACGTCGAGACGTATTTAAGTCTTGCTGGTTTTGCCTTTTCACATCTCACAAAGCCATTAGCAACATAATATGTTTGCAACCCCACGGCAGGAACAGAAGCTTTCCCGAGGACACTATGCCTTCCAGTAAAAGTTTTGCTTTTATCGTGCTTCTATTCAGAGGACGCTTGACTTCGAACACAAGTCCAGTACTTTGAATCCAGAATAGTAACATCTGGCATGTTAACAACAAGCATCGCAATTTCTTCTCTACTTTGCTCCAAGGGATTAGAAAACTCAACATATTGTGAGGTTCCTTCGCGAGCATCGATTGCCTTAAACACTGGTTGGACATCATATTTAGACCTTACCTGTTCTGACTCAAACTGGGATGGGTTCTGGTCAGATTTATCATGGCGAATACCAAGAAGTACTTCAATAGCTTTGGACATGAAAATTTGCAAGCCCTGTAAACAATTATGCATTCGAGTCCCATAGTCCCAAACTACATGATCCTTGGCAGTGCCAGTTATCCCGTCATGATGTTGGAAAAGAACTAAATTCCCTATTGCAGTCGTCATATTGTAGGCATAGCCTGTGGCCAATTTTTCACATTGTTCTCTCTGGCAATAGGTACGCCGAAGCCATCATTATCTCGACTGCACGAAGTGTTTGCTCTGGTACCCGATCAACAGCCTTAAAGAAAGGCCTTGAGATGTAATAGCCACCCCAATAGTCCTGTTGCCTGTCAGCATAAGTAAAGAAGTCACCTGATAAAGATGGAAAACCCCAGTCTGATCAGAGCCAACCTCTACAGGAAGTGAATAATTTATCCTGTCAGCATTTCCACTAGGAGTTCGTAAGTACTCATCCAAAGTACCAAATTGTGCCTCTGCATTTAAACTGGGATTAGAGTTGATGCAATCAAATAACGTTCGGTAATTCTGAAACTGGGCCCTCTGCTTCATCAGTACTGATGTAACAGAAATCATCACCGAGAGGAACAAGGAGAGTATTAGTCCGGTACAGAGTTAATTTCTTCCTGTATCGATCCAGTAGCTTTAGTGCTCTCTCCTGAATATTTTCCGCTGGTTGATTTCCACTGGATGTTTACCCCATGGACACAATTCATAATTAATGCCATGCATTCCAGCAAAATCAGTTTCACAACAAATAGCAGGCTCGGTACACAAGTATGAGAAATATCACAGGAATAGAAGGGCATTGTGTATATAAAAATACCAGTACTTCCCTCAGCATGCTCATTTGGATCTTCAAAGTCATCCCCACCAGGATCTACAATGTCTACTTGATCTCCATACTCCTCACATTCATCATCACCACCATACTCATCTTGCATAGACTAAGCAGTCGATCGTACTGGAGGTTGTTGTAAGTGTAACAGCTGAAGCAGGGACACTGAGTAAAGGCGCAGAACTATTAACTGGTTGAGTTTGTGATTTTGAAGTAGAAGCCGGGGATATACCGGAAAATTGTCCAGTAAACAAGCGAGTAGTAGTCCCTGAAGAAGTCAGCACGCTAGTTGTAGCAGAAGGAAAACCCGAAAAAGAATACAATGCAGAGCCAGTAGAAACAGCAGCAACACCTGTCCCACCTGTAGCTCCTTAAGTCACACCAAATGCAGGCAGACTCAACCCCGAAGTTGTATTGCTAGTACTGGTAGAAGTAATTAACTGCAGTGGCACCACTAGCTGGAGTAGAAGCATGTGTATTAGTTAGCGTGGAAAACAACGGCGTTACAGTTTCGGAGAACAACGTCTCGAGGCCTAGTATGAATCGTCATCTCCTGGCTCCGAAGATCGACCGCTCTGAAGAAGAAGAAGGGTGGTTCTTGTTGCCTCTTGCCAAAATCTGTTACAAACCTATATAAGCTATTCGTTCTCTAACAGACTCCTGAGTTTAAGGAATTAAAGGAATAGCAACACTTGTACTTCTTTTTAATGCGGGATTGAAAGAAACTGAAATAATTCAACCTCCTAATTCCAGAGCGCTTGTGACAGACAGCAAATTATTTTACGTGTAAAAGAGCAAGTGCATCTCATCGTCCTGCAATCCCTTCAGTAAATAAATGGTTCGCTTGCCAGCCCGACGATGTGGTTGAGGAAAGTAACCGAGATTTTATAGTGGTGTGCTGAAAGAACTTTTCAAAAGTTCTCCAGCTTTCCAGGTTCCCTTCTCAACTGATTCGCGTGCAATCTAAATCAAGAAATTACAGTGACATCCCTTCGTGCTTTGTTTCAAGTTATTGCACAACACTAGTTGCTCGTCAAGAGCCTCAAATCTTTGACGATCCTTGGATCACAAGATTTTGTAGCCCAGCTCTTGAAGCCTGGATGGATGTGTTGGGCCAATTGGTAACGAATAGCCCATAATTCTTTCCTATCGCGAGGATGTTTTAAGGCCCAGTTATTGCTTGACCTTGACGGTTGACATAATGTATTTTAGCAATGCTCTCAAGATAATATATATATATAAAATGTTGATAACTATAAATAAATCTAAATTGAGTGCCAAGACGAAGTAGCCCAAAATTAGAACTAAATTTTAGTTTATCTGTTTATTTGGCGAAATGCTGTGATTTCCAAGCAGTGTTTGGTGACACTTTTCAAAGGACATGTTAAGAGCGTTCTTACAATTCTGAGTTTTATTTTATCTTTATCTTTTCATGAGAGATACTGAAAGAAAAAAAAATGCAAGGCTAGTGAAAAATGAAAACAAACATGAAATTAGGTTTTAATTTGAGCTCAATTGTTGAAAATATAAAATCAAGGATCAAATTGAAAATCTTTAAAAATCAAATTATTACAGTCAATAGTGAAATGTGAGAAAGCTAACAATAATAATGTCTGAGGTAAAAGAGCCACACACTTTCTTGCATATGTTGTCTTTTGCTTCTTAAAAAACAGGCTTTAACTGGAGACTTTACTTGTCGTTCACTCTTTTCTTTCCCACCGCTATGATTCCTTAGATACATGTTAGCTCATCATATATAGCATTAGCACTTTTCTTTTTAACCTCAAATCAAGCAGATTTTATGATTTAAAAAGAATTAATTTATTATATAACCTTCACCTTTTTCATCATATTGACCTTTATTAACTGCTTATAGCGTAACGCGGACAACATAACTAGTATTTATGGTCTTGAATTAATGTTATTGGATTGTATTTTTTATTTGGACGGCTAGAAATGCAACTTTTTTAAAAAAAAAATGAGAATAGAGTGTTGCTAAAGTTTTTTTTAAAGTAAAATAACCACAAGATGTTGGATAAGCCTTCACAAATTATTTTATATTCTCTAAATTTTTAAGTTGTGAAATTTAATAATCATTTAATGCTTAGTTTTTAATTTAATCAGGGGACAAAGGGAGGGTGATATGATCTTTTAGTCGTTAAGACCATTAAAACATATCAAGCAACTTTCCTAACTAGTATGTATGTGTTTATATACAATTCAATATAACATGTACATGTTTTAGTATTGACATGACACGCAATGAATATGCATAAATTTTATAATTTTATTACTAAATACCCAGTACTTTTATATATATATATATATATATATATATTAGTATTTTATTTTACGTCGAATACCTGAAATATAATAAATTAAATCATGAATATCTAATTTTATTATTTAACGAATAGAGTATTAATATAATATAAATATAACTAGTTGATACATATTGTCATCCATACTTGCCACTTTTAAATTTTTTATCCTTGTTTGCTATAATAATTTCCTAGAGAAGTTAATTTGGTCTTTGAAATGCCATTTTTTACAAAGAAGTCCTAAATTGGAATTGTTTTGATCCTCATACTTCTTGAGAAAAACAGTAGCTGCCTTGAAACAATCTTGCAACCAAATCCAAGGTTTTTTTAATAAATTAACATGTTCCGGTAACGAAAGGGAGTTCTTTCTCAGAAGCTATATATATTTATATATATTGAGCATAATTTAATTAATATTTATCGGATAGATAATCGCTTTGTATCTGGCACACCGCAATCTCTATCGCTGGCGAGGCCACCCCTCTGAATTTGTTTAATATTAATACATTAAAATAATATAAAAAAGATACTAATTTAAAATAACGACAACATTACAGAAACAAACAATCCCAACAACACCCCCCCTCCCCACCCCCCCGAGTACATCGTTGAGAATTAATTTCTCCGGCGAGGAACAAACATTGACTGGAAAGAAAATGGCAAAAAGAAATTAAGCTACAAAATAAACAAAATGGATCAATTAGTGAAGTTCTGGATAATCCCAAGAGGTTCCGTGGCCTTGGCAGCAGGAGCCGGTTCCACACTCGGCGATGGGGTCACTGGCTGTCCCAGAAGTTCAGCTGGCAAATCAGGAATTCCCTTCAAATAGAAAGTGTAAAACAACTTGAAAGGAAACACAAGTTGCTGCAACTTGACCTGTCCATACACACCCTCAAAGATCCCAGACCCACCAGTCACAGCTAGGTAGGTATCCTCATAGGTCAGGTATGCTCCTTGTACTGATATATGACCATAATCACCAAAGTAGAAGCTGTATATTGCCTCATATCTGTCACCTTTCTTTTCTGGCACGTTTTGGATCAGTACACAGAGACCAGAAGTTATACCTAGCCGTTTCTGTAAGTCTCCAGAGTAAAGCTTGTTGGAGAAAGGCACAAGGTCACCGAGAGAGTTTTGGGGCTTTTGACTCAGTTTTAAAAAGGCTGGGCTGCCTCTGTCTCGCTCGTTGATTTCATACACATGCAGCTCTTGAACTTTAGCTGAAAAAGAGAAAATCACTTCATCAATCAAGTAATATAAACAAGATCATTGTTTTTAAAGCGAATTATGTTGTCGAAGTAGTTTGACTTACCTGGTTTTGGAGATACTGGAGAGGGCCTAGGCTTCTTGTTGAAGAAGAAAGCTCTGGTGGTGAAGTCCCTGGAGCTTCTTTTTGTTGAGAAACGATCTTGATCACGAGTTTCTTTGGAGAGTTTGAGGTGTTGAATTGCAAAGGCTTGTGAGTGAGCGAAACCCAATTGTTGTTGGGATTGGAAGCGAGATTGGGATCCTGGGTTAGAGAGTTTGAGAGAAGAGATTGGCTTGAGAGAGCTAGTAGAGGCCATTGATGATGCCGGTGATGATAGAAAGATGGAAAGAGGAGAGAGTGCCAAGAATGAAGACTGGCAGCACAAACTAAGTAGAAATGGTACATAGAGAGAGAAGATTTTTCAAATATTTCATGTCGAACACGTGGGGATTTTATTTTTAATTTTTTTTTTCGTGGAAAGTGGAGAAGTGGAGCTGGGCCGCATGTGGAAAGATCGAAATCATTTAATTAAATTTCGTGGAGGGTGCCTCTCATTTGGCCTATAGTAGCAATAAACTTGCAGGCAGCTCATTTCCATGAACATGGTCGGTTGGTAGCTTGGATGGAGCTTCCTCTTCCGTCTACAAGAACAAGACACTCGCTTAGTAATTCCATTAATGGCCTCAAAAAAATTAAAAACATTAAGCAATTTCAGAGCTTATAAATACCATTCCAGACGAGGTCTCTAATGCCATCTTTAGCGCTTCATTTCCTCAAGAGAATATGCCAATGGGATCCTTCGTTACAAAACACCCACATGCAAATTGGTGCATGTCCAACCCATTAGTGCACAAGAAGAGCTAGGGTTAACTCGTTAACCACTCACCCACCCAGTTTCAGGCATCACGTATTCCACACGAGGCAGGTAGGTGTTTCCAGGAAGCTACGGGTCACCTCAATCGGACGGAGTAAAAAACGTGAAAGAAGTCTCTATTCCATGTCCTAGCCAATTAAATAAAATAAATTCCACTCCCCTGTCCAGAAGAAAACAACTATCGTGCTTGTCTCTAGTAGAGACTCGAGCGCCGCCGTCTCAGAGACTAATTAAGGTTCGAGAGAAATCAACATAGATAATAGAGATGAGAAGTTTGGTTTAGTTTTTATTTAAAAAATAAATTAAAATAAAATTTTAAAAAAACTGAAAAATTTAAATTGAAACTGGCAAACTGAACAGTTTTGATTCAATTTGATTTAATTTTTTAATATAAAAATCAGAAAACCTGTTTTTTTCCTTCAAGCTTAACTGTAAGTTATTATTCAAGCAAGAGTTTATCAACGAAAATAAACAAAAACATCTCAGAGTACTATATTAATTTTCAATATAATCAAATTATGAATATAAAATATTTAAAAAAAACCAACAATAAAAAAAGTTACAATCACATCCAAAAACAGGGAAATTTAGGCTATAGTTAGATCTAGCAAAACACATTAATATGCAGAAACTTGTAGTTGCTCTAGCCATGAGCACTCATCCCCTCTTTATAATAAGTATTCAGTGTCTAAAGAGAAAGCCTGAATTAGAAAGTAAAAAAGCCTATGGAATCGAAGAAATCTTGCAGGTAGGACTCTGATCTTGTCTCCTTATCATTGTCTTTCTTATAAGCAGCAAAGAACCTATCATTGGCCATACCTTTAGTTACAATTACAGATCTATGCGTGAAGATGAAGGTGAAAGTATGAAATGTGAATAGGAGCGGCTTAGGAGCAAGGAGAAGGACGGCTGGAGTCCAGTGGATGCTAAGATTCAGAATAAGCGTTTTTTTTTGTGTTTATAGCGCCCCCAATTAAACCGGTTAGGTTTGGTTAGGTTTTTACCGGTTTTAGATTTCTAAAACCAGAACCGAACCAAAAGTTTTTTCAAAATTTTTAATCAATTTAAACCGTTTTTTTAACACTTCAGTTTTTTTAGCTATTTTTTTCTGATTTTCTCGGTTTAATCAGTTTTTCTATTTTTTTTTTTGCTCTCTCTAATAAATAGATAGCACAAGCCTCAACAACAGTATCAGATACCTGGACCTCCAATCATAGCTGGCCCAGAACCAATTAAAATAAAAACACACACAACAAAAAAAAAAAAAAAAACATGCTTGTCTTGTGACACTTGTCATCGAAAAAATCGTCCTTGCTTTTTAATTTTACGGTTCGACACTGAGGGCAAATCCTACATTCAGACAGTTTCAAGAATACATCCCCACCTATTCCTTGCTAGGATAATGACATTGGCTGGTCATCATTGAATTCAATAGATTCGAATCTAACCAGCAAGCCCCATGATCAGATCAAATGGAGGGACGGCATGCAATGAATGAAGTGAACTAAAGACGAGATCATATACCCTACTATAGTTTGAACTACAAAGAAAAAGTACACAAACGTAAAATCAGAATTACCTAAATCAATGATATAATTGCCAAAAGATGAAGAAGAAGAGGTCATTCAAGAATAGGATAAGCATGTCTTAGGTATAGCAGAACTTGTCCAGCAGCCATTAATGGAAGTCTGGTTTCTTCTATCTACTTTCCTAATCCATAAACTATAACCTGACTAGCACTGTTTGCCTAGTCCTTAGGAATTGAACGTCGCAAATCAAGATTTGCTTCTTTACCAATCTAGAATGATTAAATTTCACGCATTAGAGACACTCACATGTATAAAAGCAGAATTGGATCCTACAGTATCTACTTCAAAAAATGTGAGGGAATGATATTTGGGCCAAAAATATAATAAATTACAATGATTTAACACTTTGTCAAAATTTCCGCACCAGTTCTAGTAATTAAAATGGTATGCTCAAATTGTGCTGCAGGGCTACCATCAGCTGTCAAAGTTGTCCAGTTGTCAGGCCACGTTATGCACTCAGTGCTTCCTATTGTAAGTATTGGTTCTGTAGAAAAAGGTTTAAAATGAGAGGCATAAAGCTGGTATGAAACAAATAACAGTTGTTCAGCATTATACTTGTTTTTTTCCCCCTTCAATGAAAAGAAATGTATCTGATTAGCATGGACATAAGGAATTTCTCTAATTATAGAACAGCGCAAGGTTTAATTAAAATGTCCTGACAATTCCATTTTGTTCACAAAATCCAGGAAGATGCCAAAAATACTCTAATTTCAGCTAGAAAACACTGATAAGGGTAGGATCGTGAAATGTGTACTGCTATATGATAATTGAGCGGTAGCTAGATTAGTAATGTCACTCTGAGTCCTCGATGCAAACACAGCATGGTGCAGCGCAAGGAAATTGTGTACGACAAGTAAAAAGCATATTTGAAATGCACTGCAGAATGTGTAGCAGATCAAACTAAAGGAAACAAGAAATAATAATGGATATGTGAAAAACTAAAGCAAGGATTACAGATTACAGTTGTCAAATAAAGGCAAACAACTCTGGAAATTTAGAAAATGAACTCACCAATGGTAAAAGTTTCACCTTCAACCATGATGCCAGGCCTGTCATTGCCTGACAGACAATCAGACAGAATTAGCGAATTTTTTAGGATGAATGTTCAATAGCATGTGAAAAAAGATTTTTAAGGAAACTACACAAGGAAGCTTTGTAGACAGAAAAATTCAGTCCATCTTTGACTTGAACAAAGATGATTCATTTGAAGGCATTCCATTTGTTTATCCTTGAATAATAACAGGTCCATAAAAATATTTCCACTTTTTTAAACATTGGAAAATTAAAATGGATTATCAGTAGGGAAAATGAAACAAAAAAGGGATAGGCCTAAATAGTTCAGATCAAGGCTTAGCTGAATTTATTTGAGTTTGTAGTTCGATATTCAACTGGCAAAAGAATTGACAGAAATTAGTCCAGTAGTGCTCATAAACCAAGGATGATATACTGCTACTATGCCCATGAGCCACAAGGCCTCTTGAGTTATTAGTGCAAAGCACAGCGCAGAAGAAACAGGCTGGACCATATACAAAATGTTCCGACCTCACCTCCTCAAAACTTTAAAAAAATGGACAAAAAAAGCAGAACAGTAAAATATTTTTGTCAAGAGACACTTACGATTATGTAGTATTAATGGTTCAGAATGAAATACAGTCCCTACACCATGTCCAACAAAACGCTCCACCACACCATAACCATATTTTTCAGCATGCTCACTGAGACAATCATCAAAGTGTAATGTTATAAAAAGTTTAAGTCACATCAAATAACAAATACACAAGAACGAAGTTTTTATCCTCACCACCTACGGACAAATCTGTCAAGTTCAGGTGATATTTTAGCAAATACAATCATGAAAAATCCGTTACTATACAATTAACTATAGATAAAAATATAATTGATAAATGAAATGATCAGCCAGTAACTTCACAAGTTCTGTGTTTTTCATAAATTTTCCATAAAACTTTCCATAAATAAACCAATTACCATTGATCAGTCCACAACCAACCACAACACTTAGTAACAAATCATCCGATCTGGAGAAAGTAGGTTTAGGTAATCCAATTGCTTAACTCCTAATCATATAAATTATCTAGGAAATGATAAACAAAAGTGATGAGTAATTACTATGAAAAGCTATCATCAAATGAATTGTAGCTCCATTGTGAATGGTTTGTCTCTAATCCAGTTCTCTCTCCCTTTTATGTTTCAACTGGTTTTCCAAATTATACCTACAGTTATATCAGCTGCTTGAGAGATCTACTCTGTCCAGTGGAATTTTTTTCAAAAATGATCCTCAAGTCTAGTTTGCTTTAAGGTAACAGAAACTTAGTTCTGTTCTTTTTAAGCAAAAGAACTAGGTTCAACCTTGTCAAAAGAATTAACTGAAGTCAACCCTTCAAAAGAGGTTGCATTTTGTTGGTGATTAGTTATACATATACAAGAATATGACAGCATTGAATTCCACTCATGTACTAGTAATTTTACTAGATAGATAAACATCAGAAATTTTCTGGGAAATAGGAAATGAAATAATATTGAAAAATTAAAAGTAATGAAAATAATGCACAATAAATAACTAATACAGGTTTAAAAAACGCTAATGACCTGCAAACTATTGCTATTTTATGTGAGTACCAAACTGTGAGAATGAATATCACACCATGATTCTAATATAGTAAGCCAGCACAGTAAAAATTGTTCTCTTCCCATTCCAATTTAAAAAAGGTAAAACAGCCACAATACCTAATTCTCTTTCCGATTTTCTTGAAACTAGCACCATCTTTACATAGAGCTATCCCTCTTTCCAAACACTCCTCAGTCACCTGCAGCAAGAGGTATAGATGAGGTCAATGCCTGAATAACATTTCTGGTGAATGCAAAACAGAAAAAAAGGACTCAAATATCTATTATATCATCAATATAGAGGGATATGCAGGTTTCTTGGACAAAAATTGGCAAAGCAGGAATCAGTGGCCGAAGTACAACTTCATCAATTAATTAAAGATTGTCAAATAGTCATTGCTCCAATCTGAAAAGCTATCAACAAAGAGAAATAGCTATTATTATTACTTGTACAAAATATAACTCACCTTGACGAGACGCTTAAGAGCATCATTGACATTCCCACACAGAAATGTTTTTGAAGTGTCTCCATGATAGCCCTAGCAGGCAAAGGGAAACATATCATGTATAAGGAACCACCCAAGTTAATGATAAAATGGTGAATCATGAACTTACATTTAAGTAGACCGTCACATCAATATTTATTATGTCACCATCCTGCACAGAGACAAATGTTTAGAAATGATCCACATGCATGTTAAACAAGCAGCAACAAACAGACCTGCAGCTGACGGGAGTCAGGTATTCCATGACACATGCACTCGTTAACTGATGTACACACACTCTTTGGGAATCCTCCATAACCAAGAGGTGAAGGATAAGCACCAGCAGCAATGATCATCTGGTGCACTGCTTTGTCAATCTCATTTGTTGTCACTGATGGCTGATTGAGATAAAGAGACAAGTAAAGGCCGTATCAAAAGCATATAATCTTACAAATCTCTGGTATCAAATGCCACTAAGTATAAACATACCCAAAGGGTAACACACACACACACACACACACACACACACACACACACACACACACACACACACACACACACACACACACACACACACACACACACACACACACACACACACACTAACACACACACACACACACACACACACACACACAGAGATAAATAGAAAAAAACAACAGAAACATCCTCCTCCAAAATCATAAAAAAAAAGGAACCAATTTCTTAAAGAAATGTCAGGGGAAAATGAGAGCTTTTATCTCCTTTTTCCAGTTCTATTCTACCTTAAGAGCATAATTTCAATGCACGAAAGTTGAAGAGAATTTCTGTTCACAGGAACATGAAAACCTCAAAGGTGTTCAAGGGACAGCAAGTTGAAAGGTCAAAATACCGGCCCGCCCTTAATAAGATAACCACACAATATTATCATAGGATTAATATTCTACCTCTTAAAAGCCTTAATGGGTAAGTTTCCTACTAGAAGCTCAAATTTGGAAAGTGGCAGATTGCATAAGTGTTAGCATTCCTAAGCAGGCATAAAAGTCATTTGCAATGAATTCTGATCAAAGCATGCTCATGCATAACACCTAGATAACAAGTCAATTAACAACTGACCACGACGTCAAGCGAAGGCTTTGACTGTTAAAGAAATTTGTTATCATTAATTGACGGATAAACATTTGTTTTCCAGAAAATTATTTAACCAACATGACAAGCATATGAAAACCAGAATAACCCTGCAGTTGACACAAACACTTCAGAAAGGCTAAAAGATTGGAATTTGAAATCAGGAAAATTAACTAAAATTCTAAAAAGTAAGAAATGGGACATTTTGCTTTGCTAAAAATTCCAGCTATGCCTCGATAAAAGTGTTCACTAGCATATACAATGGCTTCTATCCCGGAAGAAATTTGTTTAACATTTGCTTGACTAACTATCAAAACATAGACTTAAACATTACTAGATAAAGGACCAAAACATTAACATAAAATACCAAATCATTCAAAGTCAACAAGAACAAAAAAGTATAGGCATCTAAACAGAACAAAACATAAAACATAAGGGAGCTCCTACTTACTCTAACCAATTTGCCGGCATTAACCAAAACGCGAGCAGCAAGCTCGCAGGCTGCCCTCATTTTAACAATCCCTTCAGAGTCATGAATCTGATGCTCACTAGAGATATCTGGCAACTCATTTGAACCTAAATATGGAGGCTTTGGAATACCATCGGGCACTGGCAACCTTGGCGATACTCTCCCCCGCCTCAATGGTGGCCTTTTTCTAAACTTAACCGTCTTTTGAAGCTCTCGTTCTCTACAAAAATTAAAGAACACGCAGCCAAACCAATCAAGAAAGTAAGCAGGTAACCATAACACAATCATCACTTCAATTTCAAGAGGCGTACCTCCTGATTCTCATGGCCTCTTCTAGAGGTGAAACTCTCTTTGACAATACGACGAGTCGTTTACGATACTGTGCATTTTTTCCTGGATTTAGTAATTTGAAAGCTTTCAGGAGGAGGACTACATTTTTGTGGAGTGATTTTAGTAAAAAAGAGTCAAAAGTTTGAGAATTTTACCAGTTGGAGGAGAAAAGGAAACTGGGGTCACGCTGAAAAGAGCTGACTTTGACCATGATGATGATGATGAGGAGGAGGAGGAGGAGGAGGAAAGTTGCAGAGGAGGAGGGGGGGAAGACACTGAACCAGCGAAACCCATTTTTCTCTCCAGCAGACAACGAGAGTGGAAAGAAAGAAACGAGGATAAACCAGAAAGAGAGAGAGAGGAGGGCCGGTTTATGGATTAATGGGTCCGATGGTTCGGCATCTGACCCATTTTAATATGGTCTGGGCCAGTTGTGGGCCTTTGTTATAAGGCCAATATTGTGATATTTGGTCTCCTTGACCTTCAAAACGTGCGATGGCGAATGCATTGAAATTTCACTTGGGAGCACTTGACACATCCGTTTTCTTCTTTTATTTTGTTGGTACAATTTCATGCTGTTCACTTTACTAACAACACTAGTCAGGCCAACAAAAGTGGAAGTATGCTTCTTCTTTTTTATTTGTGTTTGGCATGAAATACGAGAAATTTCTTGAACGAGTTTCTATGCTACCGAGAATAGAAAAGCAAGTCAAGAAAACGAGCTTGTCCTATAATGTTCGTAGGAAGCTTTTAACAGCATAGCATCAAATTACCGAGAATGTTCTTTGGATTTTAAGTTTTATGATGAAGTCCTGGGAGGGTTCCAAGAACACAACGATATCACAATCAAATATTTATCGTAGAAATCAGTGCAGCTATACGCCCAAAAAAAAAACAAGAAGAAGAAGAAAGACCATTCGGAGATAAATCAAATTAGGATAACCCAACTTTTTTATTTCAATCGTGGCAAAACCATATTGTGGAAAGACATGTTTCAACACCCATATGTAAATTGGCCACAAAGAAGTTGAATTTCTCAAGTAGATTTGCTAGTGACAAGACGGTCTTGGGTGTTTGGCTCTGCATTTCCATACCTGAAAGAAAAGTAAAAGAAGAAAAACGAACCCGTTAGGCATGGGGTGGAATATCTATGGTTGCCCTGATAGCATATGGGGGGGTGCCGCTTTGTCAAGTTGATTTACATGGCCGAGCCACCAAGCTCAGGGCAAATGGTAAGAGAATTCCCCTGGCCTCCAAGTATACACACGGGAGATTCAGGACAGGGAGATGTTAGGTTCAAGTCTCACTTCCAAATAATTTCTGAATTTTTAATTTTTGTATCTACGTATGACTAGATATGCAATCTCTTTTTTTAAAAAAATATATATAGAGACCCTTGTTAATTCAGAGGTTAATTGCTAATTGCTCTATGCTATGTTGGATGCGGTGATTGGACTGACTTTTCAACTCAAAAACTTACGAAGCTTGCTCCAGGGAGAATTCCGCATGGTTGCAGGCAAGTCCAGCTCACATCTCTTTTTGTTTAGTCGGTCCAATATTTATATACAATATTCATTTTAATTTCAAGTCTGATTGGAATTTTATACGAGCTACTTTGACTGTTGATTGAGGAATCGGTGTGATTTGGTACATTTGATTTGGTACATTTAACAAGGATCTATTAGTATCTTGCTAATTATAAATTAAAAAAATGGATTATATCATTGAACTAATTAATTTGGCAAGAATTTGTAATCATATTCACATATTTTTGGAACGTGGCTAGGAAGAAAATACTGGGAAAATTAACTGTGTCAAGAGGAAACTGCAAACAGATTAGCATCTCCTTAACAACTAGAAGACTTGGAATCAAATCTGTGAGTATCTGGAAACCCATAATTAAGTGATGGAAATGTCAATGATCTTGTGTGGTTTGGAGGGTGCCATGGATAATTGTACAGTGTCACGCTTATTTCTTTGAAAGTCCCAGCTTTGACTACCATATTGTTCGTTGACAATAACTAATCGTTTGACAATTTCCCATTAGATTTGCAAACGGGATAGGCCAGTATCAAGCGGATTTAGCTGCCATCTACCACCAGGGTTTAACGTGTAATGAGAAGATTAATATGCGAAGATCAGGGCAAACATCGGGATTTGAAAAGAACTACAACTAGTTTGTTTATTGAAAGGAAAGAAAGAAAATTTGACTGTGAAATCAAGATTCAGCTGGTCCAGAAAACCTACATTTTTTTATCCCTTTGATGAATAGCAAAACTCCATGGAAGGAGCACTTCCTCAAGCTCCCGTCCACACTGGATAGGTAGGTCTCTCCAGGGTGTCTGTATCTGCATAGAAAGTAAAAGCAAAGTCTGTTCTTATTAAACGAATTGTGTTTGACAATATCCGATCCTGTTTTAAAATCCTGGAGATGTTTCTATTGCTATATATGTATAGTCATTCTGGAAAAAATATCTCACGGACAACACCGGCCTTCGAATTTCTCTGAAGACGCTTATTAACTATGCAAGAAGCTACAGAGACCAAGGCCTAATGAACGTGAGAGCAGCTTCAAATCATTTTTCAAACTAAATAACCATCACCTCAAAAATTAACTTTTCCTGTGGATGGCTTTCAAAAGTAAAAGGTTTTCCCACTTGCCAATTTAGACCTTGTCCTTCCTGGGAAAATCAAAGATGAGCTGTCTTCTATTTGTGCCACAAATATCCATTATTTTCATGTGCCACAAAGGTAGGCTGGAAGTGTGTCTGAACATGTAATGGGATTAGGGGCCAAGTTAAAACACTTTTAAATCGAGACAAGATTTTATAGTGATAATCAGCCAATTAGCCTGAGCTTGTTTAGGACAAAGGTGCCATCCATACCTAATCTCTCTCTCATATCTCATCATGAAGCATGAGATTATTTTGTCAACACGGAAGATATATTTTAGGAAAGCAACACCAGCAGAAAAGCCAACAGAAGCCATAATGCTACATAACAACATTGAAATATTAAAGAACAGTTCAAAAGGCGATGTGAACATTAACAAATTGCCAGTCATCCATTTCTTGTTTTCTTTTTTCTTTCGTTATACTTTGTTGCACCTACTTTCGAGCTTTCTTCAGCCTTTTGCCTTGTAACAAAATAATATACAATTACCCTTTTGCGCAACTTGCAGCAGCTACACCCCCACCTCCTGAAACCCCACCCTCCCTCCACCTTCCTAAAATTCACAAATTGCAAAGAAAAAAGCAGAGAAATACATGGACAAAAACCAAAACACTGAAAACAAAATGTTACAAAGCTCCAATGATCCTTTGTTTCTTGCTATACTGATGATCTAACGACAAAAGCTCCATTTCTCTCACTGATCTCTTCCCATTGCACCCATTTTCCATCCCAGGTACGTTGAAGATGTTGACCCCAAACAACCTCACCATCTGAATCGGTTGAACCGGGTGGACCTGGTTGGACCCACTTCTTGCTTTCCAATCAATGTAAAGCTGCTTATCTGGCCCTGTTGATCTTTGAAAGCAAACAATGTCACCAGCTTTCAAGCTCTTCTCTTTTACAAACCGGCTCCACCCTTTGGTCAAAACATAACTCTGGCTACTATTCCAATAAGAATAACGAAACCTCCACACTTTACCACTCATATCTTCCAGGTTAAGCAACACACCCTTAGTGCTACAGCTTGATGTACCCTGCAAAGGAAAATGCTTTTCTGCATGTTGTTTTGGTATGACAAGCCGATTCAATTTCCCAACGTCACTTGGAGTCACAGCTTTCTCGAAAAGTTGTTCACGCGCTTTCAACACCCGGCCACAACCATGGTCATAACTGTTACTCCCATAGTTTGCTGTATTCTTGTATTGCTTCCCATTTACCCCATTGTTACTCCTGTGGTTCCTTTTGCTTTGCTCTAGCTCATCGCTGTACGTATGTTTCCTTAACATGTCAACGATTTCAGCTTTTGAATGAGTGATCAGAAAAGCAGCCTCTATCTCATCATCTTCAGTTTCATTAACCTGTTTGAAGTTAGTCACGGCATCCCTTCCACGAAACCTCTGCGCAGCGGTATCATAGGCTCTCGCTGCTTCATCTTCTTCATTGAATGTCCCGAGCCACACACGCTGGTGCTTCTCGTAAATCTGTGCACCCCAGCGACCATTTGGTTGGGGGACAACCCCTTTGTATTTAGAGGAAGGGAGCTTTCTTGATTCAGCTTCGACACCTGATTCCAAATCAAGAATCACACTATTGCCGCTCCCAACACGGCAAAGTGACTCAGGTGGTGATTTTGTTGTGGTAGCTGGAGGTAGAGAAGGAGTGAGGGAGGTTGGTTTGATGGATATGGAGTTATCGGTACTACTAGTCGTGCTCTCATCTACGCAGCTTCCATCCATTTCTTTTCTTTTTAGTTGTTGTTGTAGTAAAGAGAGAGGAGCAAGAAAGACAGAGACAGAGAGGGATGAGGTGTTTTTGTTGACTAGAACTAGAGGTATGATTTGGGCTGTGTTGGGGGATTTGAGAATATATATAGAGAGAGGGTAGAGGTGTTGGGTAAAGTTTGGGGATTTTAATTTTAATTTTAATTTTTGATTTTATGGGTTAAATTAAGAAATACGGGGTGGGGTGCACTGTGTAGTCTTGGGGAGAGATGGGGACGTGGGTGAGGTGGGTCAACCCAAGGAGGAGATGGTAAGGAACTAGGAAGATTCATGGAGTTAGGGTCGTAGTATGCTCGCGCGCGTGTGTGTAGAGGGGAGGGGGGGCGTGGGGCCCTTGCCAACAAGTTGATGGGGTTCACATGATTGTGGACCGTGTTTTTAGTGAAGTTCATCCCCCCGAGCTTTGCTGCTACTGCTGACTACCAAGCATGGTCTCCTCTTCCTTGTTTTAATTTGTTTTCTTCTCATGTACACTTGATAGCTCATATCTTATCCCATCCTTTTGCATTGCATTCTAAACGGGGCGGTCAAATCTTGATTTTTATTTTTGTTTGAACTTTTTTTAATTGGATTTTTTAGAATTAATGTGGATCTAGGCTAATTTGCATAGATTTTTTTAATTAATAGCTACGTAAACTTTCAATACTCAATTTTTTAATAATTCTGAATGGCTTTGATATGTATTAATATTATAAATAATTTTTAAAAAATAATAAAAAATATTATTGTAATATATTTTTAAATTAAAAAAAACATTTTAAACTCCTCCCGTACTTGCATCAAGATCTTCTCTATTATTATTTGTTGTTGCTTACCAGTTAGAATCCAGTCCAGATAAACATCGAGGACGAGAAAGGGATAGGGATAGGGTTTCTGTTGGGTTTGGTTTTCTTCCCACTAGGATGATGGGCAGTGGACCTTTCCAAGATT